ACTAACTTGTGATTGTGAATGACTCTCAGCCTGCTTAGACGCCAGTGGCGTCACAAGTTACGTAACGTCTATTGATACTCTTTAATGATTATTGCTGCAGTTGTCGTTCTCGTGATCATGGTATCCGGCGACCAGTGTAACACCGGTGTTGAGTTTTTCAACTAAATCCCCAAGTTTACTTTTGAATTTTAGTGTCTTACCAAATCGTTTGCCTGCAATAAGTGTCTGAAACCAGGCACAATGTCGAGGTAAGCATAATGTTGCACCACCGCATGACAAAAATGTTGTTAGTAAAATAGAAGCATGAACCCTCTTTAGTGCAATCTTCAATCGTCCATAAACAGCAAGCAAAGTTTTTTTTTTTTTTAATGAGATTTTAACATTACATTATGATATCTCGTCAATTATGTACATTAATCTGGAATAGTATAGTTATTAGTTGGTAAAGCTCACACTCTTAAATTCGGAGGCCTGATTGCAGAATAAAATTTAGCGTATGTTTTATTATGTTAACATTGTCGGTTGAAAGAGCATCAATGAGGGAAAAATTAATACCAGAGATGGAAAAGAAATTCTTTAGCTGAGATCTTTGGATGGAGAGAGATGGACAGTTCGTAAGTAGGTATTGGAAGTCAGTATTGTCCACCGCGGTTGGGTAGGGGACAATATGTGCTACTGTTGAGTCCCAATTTAAACGAGTGGTCTGGTAGTAGACTGTGGCCCATGCGTAATCTAGTGAATTTAGTTATGGCAGCGCAGCTCATCTTTAGGGATTGAAACCATGGTTGAATAGGGATTTTTTTAAATAATKACCTATAACCAAAGGCATAAGACTCTGGTAGGGAATCCCATTCCAGCTTCCATAGCTCCTGTATGGATATCCGATGTATGTTGACTAAATCAGTATARGGACACCACAGAGAGCCCGAGTAAGACTGTTTGGCGGTGGAGCCAGCTAACGAACCAGCTTGTTCATTACCATTTATGCCTATATGCCCTGGAGTCCATAGGAAGGAGATGGAGAATGACTTGATTTGGAGGGATAGCAGTTATGCACAGATTTTTAGAATTATAGGGGAGCATTTAGAAAGGAAGGAGTTGCTGACAATTKCTAAAATGCTAGCTTGAGAATCAGAGACAATAAGGAAATCTCCGCAGAGGAGGAAACTTATGCATGTGATAGCTTCTAGGATAATCCAGCATTCAGCCGTGAATGAAGAGACGAAAGCAGACAGGTTGGAGGATGACTGTATATGTAATTCTGGGAAAAAATAAGCAAAAGTCGCTCCTGATTGTGTGACTGACCCATCAGTGAATACCAAGGTACACAAACTAAAATTGTCAGCAATAAACTGTCTGAATAAGTTGTTAATTATGCATGGAGGCATAAGTCAAGCAAAGGTTTATAGTCTATAAAGCTTAAGTGTTGTTTTACCTCTCAGCTCTTGATGAATTATAATATAAAATAAAAATATATTTTTATATGATTCTTGAATTAATGGATAAAGCCCAGATAAAAACGCTTTTAAAATCTTTTATACTTACCTTTAGTTACAACAGACGGTTTTTAAATATTTTATCAACACNCTAAAATGCTAGCTTGAGAATCAGAGACAATAAGGAAATCTCCGCAGAGGAGGAAACTTATGCATGTGATAGCTTCTAGGATAATCCAGCATTCAGCCGTGAATGAAGAGACGAAAGCAGACAGGTTGGAGGATGACTGTATATGTAATTCTGGGAAAAAATAAGCAAAAGTCGCTCCTGATTGTGTGACTGACCCATCAGTGAATACCAAGGTACACAAACTAAAATTGTCAGCAATAAACTGTCTGAATAAGTTGTTAATTATGCATGGAGGCATAAGTCAAGCAAAGGTTTATAGTCTATAAAGCTTAAGTGTTGTTTTACCTCTCAGCTCTTGATGAATTATAATATAAAATAAAAATATATTTTTATATGATTCTTGAATTAATGGATAAAGCCCAGATAAAAACGCTTTTAAAATCTTTTATACTTACCTTTAGTTACAACAGACGGTTTTTAAATATTTTATCAACACRGTGTAGTTATTGTAGGTTGTGCATGGACTCGGATTGGGCCAGCAAGCTACTGAAAAAATCTSAGTGGGCTGGTTATAAGCGTATGGCCGTAATTTAATTTTTATGAGACAAGGACGAATTGCAGAAACAAGAGTACTTTGCCAAATTTATTATAACATAATACATTTTAATTGAAAAATTGAGATTGTAAAATTTTAACAAATCAAAATATTTCATAAACCCATTTCTAGTGCATAATATTTAAAAATTAAAATATTAGAATGGGCTGRTTTTGAAAATCAGAAGGTATGGCAAACACATTCTTATGGTTAGATTGAATGRAAAAATCCCTAAAGGTTGACCGAGCAAAGATGGGAAGGTAAGGTGAAGACAGATCTTACTGGAACATCACAAGGAACAAAAATTGAAGATAGGTGGAGAGGAGTGGCTGAAGAAACAAAGGYCCTACACGGACTGTAACAGCTAGGAAGAAGACAGAATTAAATTGAATTATTTAACTATTCATTAGCTGTAGATGTAGTCAAACGTTAGAAATACTTAAATTCTGGTTTTT